TCAAGCAATTCCGACCAAGAAAAGGTATAAATTACTCTCCCTTTATCATTTCAATAAGTTTTACATATAATGTTTTTTGTAAAGTCATTGTGCCACCCTCTCCTTCTTTCATTGGCCAAACCAAGCCCTTCCCTCTCTCTCCCTCTCTTTTCTTCCATGGTTGAAAACTGGGCAAACTTTTTGTTCCCTCTTATTTTTCTTCCATTAACCAAACTGATCCCTTCCTTCTTTCTCCCTTTTTTTTCTTCTATGAATAAGCTCCTCTTTTTTCTTCTCCTTCTTCTTCCATAGTCAATCCCCTCTTCTTCTTCTTCTTCTCTATTTCTTCCACAGATGAGCCTTCCCACAAAATTTACTCTCTTTGATGTTGAGGGATTGTCTTCCTAATGCGTTTACACATCAAAGATGCATCATTGTCATGAGTCCCTTCCTAAAGGAAGTCACAGCCAACATTCATTGATTTTATTGGTTGTTAGTGGGTGAACTTAACAGGTTTACCACCTTTGGTTCATCCATTCACCTTTTCTTCATGTATCTTAGTATAGACAATGAAAGGCTAACCAAAAAAAAACTTTTTAGCCTTCTCTAATTTTTTAACTCTGAGTGGATAGAGAATGATCATCTTCATTGGTTTAGAATATAAGAAAAATCTAAGCTGAAGAAATAGAAAAGTCTTCCAATTCAATAAGAAGGTAGAATGATAGAGTTTTCTAATTCAACAGAAAAAGAAAGGGAACAGGGGATGCACTAACAAATTTATGATATTTGCCCTTTTTTATCTTTTTAATAACTTATATTTTATAGAATTGTCAGTCAACAATTGTACTTATTTTATATTTTTTTTAAATACAAATTCATATTGATTCTCATGTGTTTCCTTTTGAGCGTGCACTCTTTAGTTCTACTTTTTGTAGGCCAAAAAGCTCTAGTGAATTCATTATCATTGTCCAGAGCGAGTTGCTTGAATTTATGTATGAATATTTGGGAATTCTTGCCTTAAATAGTTTTCTATCTTCTCTTCCATTTTCTTAGAATTGTCAATTTTTAGAACACCATCATTTTCTGTTATATGCGCCTCTTCGTCAAGGGCATAAGCAATATATATGCATCTGTTCTTGCTTATTTTTTGATGGGTTACGATTTGGTCCAAGATGGGTTAAGCTTTTTGAGAGCCTAGTTGTGAGTAGCAACATTGGCCTTCTTTAATATCAGATCACCCATTTTGAATTATTGCTTCATGACTTTCGCATTGCAAAACTTCACCATTCTTCCTTTCATCTCTTCTTGGCACACGGAAGATTAATCTTTGAGTTCTTTAAATATGTATCATTAAAACTTTCATCATTTGTCGCTTCCCATTTTTTAAGCTCAAATTCCTCAAAATGCACTGCTAGTAGAATTCACCAACGATGAACACCATACTCCACAAGAAGTGAGGCTAAATGAAGTGATAACTTCAATAAATATGTCTTTGAATTAGAGGAAAAGTTCCTCTAGAGTAAGAAACTGTATTTTAAGGCATTACTTGAGCATAATAAGCATACTTAGTTGACTCAACCAAGATTGTGTTCAGTAGGGTAAGTTCTTCCTTCATATGACTAAAAAAATGGAATCTTGAATTTTTGTGGGGCCTCACCTTTTGTTTTCTAAATTGAAAATGCATATTCCAACATCTGCCATTTTTCCTATCATTCCCTATACTCTTCATCTTCTTAAGAGTTAGGTATTTCTTCCCTTGAACTCCTTGGTTTTATCCTTGATGGATTTCATCATTATTCCTCTATCATCGTCCTTAATCATTCTTTCAACTCAAAAATTTGTTGCAACATGAACACCTTGGTGCAATCTATTGACTTTCTTCGTTCGCCCTATGGCTCCAAATCACCTGTTGGGTTTGATTATGAACTCCAAGCTCACCGTACATTTCAAGATGTTAAAACATTTTAAGATACAGGATCCTATATCGTGCGTGTGCTCAAACAACCATGGAGAGGTTTGAGAGAAAAAAACTGGGGAAGATGGTGATGGTAATGGCTCAGACAATGAACTTGATCCCAGGTGAATATATAATGAAGATATTTGAAGAATATAAATTCTCCTACTGTTTTTCAATTTCTTTCTTTCGTTATTTCCTCCTCACTCATTAGAAGTAAAAGGGTACATGTACAGATATGACTTATGGTTCTCCCATGACAACTCAAAGAGAAGATACTAATGTGGATATCAGATGACTCATAAATAGACTTATATGTGTATTAGTTTGATAATGATGATCTTTGCTTCGGCATTTGGTTGGTCAAGAGTGATGATTGTTCTGAGGTCCATGTCACCTCGACTGACCAAATCAGCAAGTTACTTCGGTAGGCAAGCTCAACAGAACAATTTCATGAGTAGCTATATTGGGTCCACAGAGTAGAGGAAATACATGCCCCATGTCTGATGATGATAGGCGAGCCACATGATCCTTTAAATAGATCCATGGGTTATGGCATGGGCCAGTAAGACGCATTATTTTTGTTATCAACCCGTAACAACTAATTATTCATTTGCAATGTCTCCAGGTTATTTACTTATTATTATAAATATAATGCGCCATCTTTTTCCGCTTACCAAACTTTTACTTGTTCGCTTAAAACTCTTAGAAAAAAACTAATTTCAATTATTCCCCTAAACCAATATTATTATAAATATAATGCGCCATCTTTTTCCGCTCACCAAACCTTTACTTGTTCGCTTAAAACTCTTAGAAAAAACTAATTTCAATTATTCCCCTAAACCAATGTGTTTAGTATCTACTTGCACAGGTGGGTCTCTTCCTCTTTCTAAAAAGATGCATATTTTAATCTAATCTCGAGCTAATGTACATTAATTTTCCCTTTCAATCCCTACTTAGCAAAATTCAGCTTAAAATCAATTGAACTCAAATATAGTTAACACTCATTGACCAAAGTGATGACGTCCAAGCTGAAATCCAATCCAATTGTTACATTAAGCAATGTTTTATCTTATAGTCATTAACAAGCCGACTGACATTAACTAAAATACAAATATATTTACATTTTAATCTAAAGATAGTACAAGTCAGTCAAAGTTACTTGATTAAAATTTATTCATCTCAAATATTGAGAGTTTTACAAATCAATCAAATCTCAAGCCAATCAGATTCAATTGAAATTCAACTAAAAACATGGTTAATCACTTCACTAAGTTTTGATTTAAATAATAATAATAACAATAATACAATACAAAAAGCTACTTATATTTTAGGCACCCAGTCCGTTTCTCAATATACAGAATTTTTATTTTTCAGATTTAACCAACAATGTTGATGGCAATTGTTGGTAGATTGAAGGAATGGAAGTCATCACCTGCTAGACACGCTCTCTAGCTTTCTCTTATTGCTTTATCTAATAAGAGCTGATGATGAAATAGTTTAGAAAGGTTGTTTACTATGCAGACAGTTGAAACCAATGCAATGGAAACACGTCGATCAAATCTCGATGTGGAAAGATTTATTTCGATGCCTATATAACCACGTACTATGCTTTCGATAATATGATGGCTGTCAGACTCCAACTCCGGCATCCATCAGTCCATGCATGCACAACAGGTGCTAATGAGCCCCCAGCAGCGCATGAGGATTTTTACAGAACTAGATAGCTTCTCTGTGAGGACGTCCTGCTCACATATGCCGCCTTCAACTCCATCAATCGGAGCAGCTGAATTCAACACAGCATCTCTGCAACCAAGGTTAGGAAAATCTGAATTGGATTGCCAATCAATTTTGTAATTTTAACATTCTAATAGACCGGCACTGAAAGAAAAGACAACATTAAAATTAAACCTGGTCAGTATAGATAATGTTTCAAGTTGGAACAAAATGAACAAACAAAACATAGAATCTTTGAAATCCAATTGCAAACAACGAATATGAGTATTCATGCAGGTGAAACTATAGAAAATTAAGAAATGGGTTGGAAAATTATTGATACAAAGTTGCAGAAAAAAAGAAGTTCCCTGCATCCTACTACAATGCTGCGGAGTAAAATCAAGGCTCTATGGAGAAACTTGAGTAGTTGATATGGTCATGGGCATAAAACTATCTCTGATGCAGGGTTATGGTAGGGTACATATCAATTTTACCACTCATGGGAAGACATTGATAAAACAGAATCAACTGAACCAGCTCTAAAATAAGTGACGGGAATATAAATCTCCATCAACCATAATTTTTTTCAACTCACGAGCAATGAAAAACACACTTGTAGCATAACTGGGAAAAAGTACACTAAGATAATAGCAAAAAATCCGACAAATTTCTGATGTCCCTATGATATTCAAAGAGGATTTTGCGAGTGCTCTTTTTGCAAAGAAAATTATAATAAAGTATAGAATATCTCAGAGCTTAGCGGTGCCCACCATTAGAGTCCACATGAAACAAATTGCTTAGTAGTCTTCTGTTTAAACATTCAGAAGTTCCTAAGTATTTGATTTGTTTGAGTTAAGAATATCAGGTTGAAATACAGGATTGTTATAATGGATCCAATGCGATATTAATGGGAACCAGACTGCAGAATGAATCAGAAAGCCCTCTTGCTTCAAAAAAACTTCTGAAACATCATTTACCATTATCAAATTTCTGAATAGTGTTTCACTAAGGAAGCAGGAAATGAAGTTTCTGTAAAGTAGAAAGAGCATAAATACCAAACTAAATCACCATGTAAAAGACACAGAACAGGTGATAAAAAAACTGATTTCAAACCATGAAAATTTTGGACTAAAATTTACCTCTAGAATGCAAAGATGTTAGGTTGCAAGGCAAGAAAGGCATGCCACTCTAATAGCGGCACTGCTGTTCTTTGTCCTGTCAGCAATCTAAGGATACCTGGTTTTCATAGGAAAAAGGGAAAATGCATTAGCATAAATGGAAATCATCAAAGGATGGTTAAGAACATTGCACCATACAACCTGAATGTGTCTTCCCTTGCGCACTCTGTTGGCTGCATGATCTGATCTGCTGCACTAAATCTGCTGAGACGAATTTGCAGGAATAATGTACTGTGGCTGAGCCGGTACAGGTATCACAACCCCTTCAACCCAGTACAAGGAACTTCAAACTAATAAACATCCTTTTTAAAAACAAATAACGAAAAAAAGTACAGGACACTTGCAGTTTTTTGGAGGGGATAGAAATCATCCCTGTATAATAAAGCTTGAAATTAATTATTCTTTTTAAGTTTCCAAATCTTAACGTACAAAGGTAATAATAGTTGATAGGAAGCGTTATTTCTAGAACTACATCAAACTTTACTGTTTTACCAATTCTCTGATCCTTAACATACACATCGCTTAATGAAAAGCATGTATAAGGCGCACTAAAAATGCAGGTTTACAAATAAAAAAGGAAATGAATGCAGTTTCCCAAGATGCCAAACCAATACATAAACTAGCATGTGGGAAGCAAGAGGCTGAAGAACTTTGACATGAATTATAGATCAAAAAACATACTTGGACATGGTACATGATTTGCAGGGCGTGGTGAAGCTGTTAAGCCATCAATACTGGATCCCCCAGGTTGCATAAAATGATGCCCAGGCACTGTATAGCCCTGCATCGTTGTAAAACCTTGGGCAATGGATATTGGCTGGCTCAACTGAGCATAAGGGTAGAAAGCTGAATTTGCTGCTCCAGGAACACCATAAACTTGAACATGCTGCTGCGACATCAAAGGACTATAGATGTTCTGCAAAACAGTCGAAATATTACAACTATAAATAGGGCATGTCAGGTTATTCGAAAAAGCATACAAAAATAAAAGTTTTTTTGTAGCACACAACCTGAGGATAGGAATACTCAGGACCATATGCTGGGTACCTGCATGAAGAACATTGAAATCCTTAAAGAAACTTTGCGGTGGAAAACATTTAAACTTGCTATATTTAGAACTACTGAGTATAAAATGTTTCTACTGTTCAATCCATGGATTTCATTTTAGACAAAACATCAGAAATCTATGATCCATACTGCAATATAGTTTCTCTTATATCTTAAAAGTGGATTCCTTATTTACATGGCATAGTCCATTTGTAGACCCTTAGCTTGGTAATTGGCAAATAGGAAAAAGATAAAATTAGAGCTTATACCAAACCATATTTCCTTGCTTACGATTTCTTTTTTTTTTTTGAATAAAAGAAAAAAGAAATAAAGTTAAAAACCTAATATAACACTCAATAAAAGTGAATGACAGAGGATTCATATAACAAACTTCAATTAATTAGCAAGGCTAATGATGATGATCATTTGAAGGTTCAAATGCAAAGTCAAAAAGAATGTGATAAACTTTCTAAAAATTAAGTAGCAAAGCAATCCAAAGTTCAGTATAAATTTTCAGATAATTATTTTGGAACTAAAATCGAGAAAAAAGGGTAAAGAATAATGGAAAAAAGGACCAAAATGATTTCTATGACAATTTATAATAGCCCAGGTTATGTAAAAGGCCAATTTAATTCCCAGACAACTGAAATAAGAACCAAAATGGTCCCCAGACAGGATTTTTTTAGTCCCCATTTGAATTATGGGGCTATTTTAGTAACTACATTACTGGTCTAGAGACTAAATTGGTCTTTAATATAGACAAGAACCATTTTAGTTCCTGCAAATAACTAAGGGGCCATCTTGGTTCTTTTTCTCTAATGATAACTTACCCAACAGAAGGATAGGAAATAGCATGCTGATAGTTGTAGGGAAGCGCTTGATGATATGTAGAGCCACCAATGAAAGCTTCTCGTGGAATAGGCACACCTCCAACATATAGGCTAGGAGGCCTTAGATGTGCTATTTAAAAGAAAAAATTCAAAATAAGCCAAAGGCAATCAAATCAAATGTATAATATACATCTAAAAACTATGAAATGTAGTTGGTATCAAAAGTAAAATTAACTGATAATTCTAAGATGATGACTCAAAACTCAGATTTAATTTTTTCCATAGAGAAAAAGACTAAAAAACCAAGCCAGTTATACTTTAAATAGATACAATTCTCAGGTAGACTTAAAGTAAAAGCACTGGACCCGCATATGATACCTGACCTAAGATTAAACACCTATCCTCAGATTAAAACAAGGTGATGACTTCTAGATCCTCATTCAGTTATTCAGCGCCCATTGGGTCATGAATTTCAACTTACAATACTTGGAGAAAAATTATAATTTCAAAGAGCTAATGATTCATCAAAATACAACAACAACAATAATAGCAAGCCTTTATCCCACGAAGTGGGATTGGCTACATGAATATTTTTTCTCTATAGAGTCCTATTGAGAATCATTCGTCTAAGTACTTGTTAAAAAAATGTTCAGGCTGGAAAAAGGAAATAATCAGTGAAGAAGGGGAAATGAAAAATACTTGCTTATCCAAACAAATAACCCTGAGAACTAGAATAGCATTGTGCATGGTGAAAATGCTTCACACGTGGTTGGAAAATTAGGCAGGAAACAATGTCACCTGAAGCTATCTCCTACACAAATCATATGAACTAAAAAGCTAACAACCACATAGGGCCAAACATAGTGCCGCTAATAAGAGTATCCGACAGCTCAATTGAGCCATGTGAACCAAATGGGCAAGTTTCGTTACCCAGACAAGCATAGAAGTCGGGCGATCACCCTATTATCCAATCCATAGCTCACGGCATTAAAGATCATCATGACTATCATTATTCTTATCCTGCCACATTGGGGTCAAATTTAAAATACAAATTCTTTGTTCATACATATACATAGAGAAAGTTGAGGAATTAAAAAATATTTTACACAATTATTAAAATAGCTAATAAAGATTGTAAGGCTATTTCAAGTGAAAATTTAAGTACTAAATATCGATTATTAGTTTTGAATTTTAAGATTATGAGTTGTAAACTAAAAAATATTACAAATTATTATCATAGAATTAGATGGAGGCACCTAAAATACAAATAAAATTATTTTTAAGAATAAACTTCAAGATTTTAAAATTTGGGATATTCATGAAGAAGCAAATTCCATGTGGGATAAACTAACAAACGCTATTAAATATGTGGCAAAAGATGTACTTGGAGAATCAAAAGAAAAATATTCTATAAATAAAAATAGTAGGTGGTTGACTAATAATGTGCAAGAAAAGATAAGAAATAAGAACTTGTGTTATAAAAATTGGTTTACATGTAAAAGCTTAGAGAATTGCTCTGTTTACAAAGACGTTAATGGGGCGCATCCCAAGGCAAGCTGTAAACCCACTCGCCTCAAGCCCCATGAAAAGAGTGCTAATTACGTATGTCATACCCACGCATTTCTGCGTGTGTATGACCCCGATTAACCTTTCAATAACTCAGTTATTGGGGGTATTAACCCTAATAACATCTCAATAACCTACAAATAAATTCCGCAGTTCGGCGCTCATCTTTTTTCCTATCATTCGAAGGTTTCGTGAGGTTATTGACGGTATTAACCTCAATAACAACGACATAACCCTCTAATACCCTTCAAATAACTTTCATACGCACGCAATTCTGAGTGCTTATGATGTACGTAAATATTTTTCCCATGAGAGGGGAGTAAAGCTCACGGTGCGTACGCCCAGGAACCCTCACGGGGCTGACACTCCACCTATTAATCAAATAAAAAACGAAAAAATCCTTAATTCTGCATACTTACCCAATTCATGTCGATTCAAAGTCTCCCACATGCAATCGATCTCCCACACCCTTTGCTTCCTCCCTTGCACGAAGAGTTATAGAAGATCTCGTCGTCGTATGCTTTGTCCCTCCCGCAGCAGGCGATTGAGCTGTCTACTTCGTCCTGCACGAAGTAGTGTCTGCTTCACCTCCTTAGACAACACTCACACAGACAATCTCGCCATCGGGCGGGTAGAAGATCCCTCCCGGCTTCTAGCCGGAATTCATTTAGTTAGAAATTTTTTATTCTTTTGCTACTTTTATTGTTTACATTGTAGCAATAGTCAGTTTACTATAACTATAGAAATTTCAATGTAGCGACAGTAAACCGCAGATTTTTTTCGTGTTTAAAATTTGCTAGAGAACACTCAATCTATAGTAAACCATAATTTTGTTAATTTTTTTCATGTTTGCAATTTGCTAGAGGTGGATTTAATCTGATTTTTTTATTTATTTTAAAGTGAATGGCTATTTATTAACTTGTAATGGAAGGGAAGGATTGTGTGGCCGGTAATAGTGACACTAGCAAAAAGGACTTTAAATAGCAATATACAACAAACATATCCAATGAAAAATATTTCAGGTATAACTTTTGCAATCAAATGTATAGTGGAACAATAAATCGTATGAAGCAACATCTTGCCAGCACACACAAGGGTATTAAACCATGCAGTAAAGCCCCCACTGAAGTTCATGAGAGATGCAAGAAAGCATTAGAAGAGGCAAAAGTCAAAACACAACGTGACAGTATATCGAGTGACATTAGAAACAATGCAATAAATGTTGATCAAGTTCAAAATGCTACCAATTTATCATTATTTGACTCCTCCCAGAACAACTTAGAGTTAGAGGTCCAATGAATTCTTTCACCACAACACAAGCAAGGAATTTTACTCTAAATTCCAAGTAAAAAAAAAGATAAAAGAAAATAAGCATATTGGGTAATTGGTAGATTCTGCTACTCAGTTAGATTGATGTTTAATGTTGCCAATGACCCATATTATATGTTTATTTTTTAAGCAGTTGCTAATTTTGAACCTGATTTTACTTAGACTACAATGCATGAATTGAGAACTTGGATACCCAAAGATGAGGTTGCTATAATCAATAAGATGTTAGAGGAGCATAAGAAAACTGGGAGAAAATATGGGTGTTCAATTATGTCAAACAGTTGGACAGATGGAAAAAGTAAAACTTTGATAACTTTTCCTGTGACAGTTTAGCAGAGATTTTTTTTAAATCTGTCGATGCTTCTAATACTATAAAAAGTGGCGAGTTACTATTCACTTATTTGAATGCGTAATTGAGGAAGTAGAAGAAAAAAGTATGGTGCAAATTATAATAGATAATAGATCAAATTATGTGAATGTGGGTAAAAAGATAATGAAGAAAAACCAACATATTTATTGGACACCTTGTGCAGCATATTATATTGACCTAATGTTAGAAAATATTGGAAAGTAAAAAAATAACGAAAGCACACTTGCAAAAATAAAACAAGTTGTTAAATTCATTTATGAGCACATATGGGTTCTTAGATTGATGAGATCTTTTACAAAGGAGATGAAACTCATTTATCCAGACATCACACAGTTTGCTACGACATATTTGACCCTTCAAAGCATTTACAAGCAAAAGTAACCACTTCAGACAATATTTTACTTAGAAGTTTGGTGTTCAATTCAATGGGTAAAGAAGATAGAAATTACAAAAGCTCGAGATATTATTTTGTTTCATCCACATTTTTTGGGTCATCTTGCTTATTATATCGAAAGTGTTGTGCCGCTTGTAAATATTCTAAGAGAGGTTGATTCAAAAGAAAGACTAACCATGAGTTATATTTATAAGTTAATGGGAGAGGTTGATTCAAAAGAAAGACTAACCATGAGTTGTATTTATAAGTTAATGAATTCAACAAAAGAAAAAATTGAAAAAATTATTTTTAATTGTGGGCATAATGAAAAAAAGTATGGAGATACTCAAAGAAAAATGGATGCAAAATGGGAAGTTCAACTTCATAAACCACTAAATGTGGCTGGTTATTATTTAAATCCTCAATTTCTCTTTGAGGATATGTTTACTAATGATGATGAGGTAAGAGAAGGGTTAATTGCTTGCATGAAAAGAAAGTTGCATTATGAAGATCGTTTTAGAGCTGATATTCAACTAGGCTTGTATGATAACTTAAGAGAAGACATTGAGAGTTGTTATGGACTCAAGAAAATTGAGAATTCCTGTTGATTGTTGGATGAGAATTAGTGAGAAAACACCTAAGTTAGCAAATTTTGCTATTCAAGTTCTTAGCCTCACATGCATTTCATCATGTTGTGAAAAAAATTGGAGCACTTTGAAATTGGTAATACTTTTTTCTATTTCTAAAAATTATTATTTTTTGCTTTTATAATCACCTCTCAAAAATACTATTTTTTATCTTAAATTCATACTAAGAAAATGAAAAGATTGGAGCACAAGAGGTTGAATGCTCTAATATATGTAAGATTTAATATTAAATTGAGAGAGAGAAGTATAAGAAAAAAATAAGAGTTCGATCCAATATGATAAATGACATAGATTCTGATGATGAGTGGATTGTTGAGAAAGAAGATGAAGTGCTTTCACAAGAACCTTCTTGGATGAGTGAAAACGAATGAGTATTTGTTGTTTATGTAATCATAAATGTGCCCACAATTAATATTAATGAAGAAGAACAAAAATTAAATAAAGAAGAAAAGATAATTTTATAACATATTCTCACATGAAAAGAAAGATGAATGAAAGAACAAGTTTCATATTTACATTTAATTGTTCATTACATAATTATACACTCTTATTTCTATAGAAAAAAGAGAGTAAATATTTACGAATGTCAATTTGTTTGTGTTTATAATTTACGCAACAATGATAAGAGGAAACAAATTATGAATTCAACTAAAATTGAGTATGATGATGAATTTAATGAAGTGGATAATGAATGCAGGGAATAGGAAGGACCTACTTGTGATTTGAACACAACCATTGGTGAAGAAGATATTAAGAATGAATTTGAAGAATAAATAACCTTCAAGCATTGAGATCAATTAAACATAATTTTTTTTTTCACTCAACATATTTACTTATTTTTATATGTTCTTACTTTTTGTAGTGGATTTTTGCTAATATCTTGAACACTTTAATCCTACAAGACTTATTTTAAAATTAAACGAGTACGAGTTATTTAATGCATAGGAATACTTTTTTTATTATGCACATATAGTCTTTTTCTTAATATTTATATTTCTTTTTTTTTATACTGTGGGGCTTACGCTCCAAACTATGGGTGTCAAAAATTGACCCAATAAGCCAAAACAACTCGAACTTGAATCGAAAAATTCGAGTTAGGGTTGACTTGATTATTTTTCAAGTCGGGTTTAGGTCAAATAATTTGACTCGTTTATTATTGGAGTTGGGTTTGATTTGAACCCAAACACCAAAACATAACCCGAATAAGCACAAAAGTTCAGGTTGTGTTCGGGTTAGTGTGTCAAACTTGCGTTCGGGTTGAGTTTTAGTTTTTGACTATTTATTATTCGAATCAGGTTCGAGTTAACCCTATTAGGTCGGGTCATTTTCTGGTTAAACTCGAACCCGACCTACTAACCCAAATTAGCACCCCTACCCGACGCCTTGAGGTTGATGCCTCGCCCCACAACAGCTAAAACGCCCTGCCCAACACCCACGCCTTTTAAAGCATTGGAGAATTGGGAAAAATATAAGGTGGCCCGTAGGGATTCTAAGAGAGCAATTTGTAACGCAAAAAATTCTGTTTTTAGAGATTTTTATAATGGGTTAAACACTATAATTGGGTGAAATTTTTCAGGAAAAAGAAGAAAGTGATCTTGAGCTGGAGAGAAGGTTTTCGAGGTGAAGGAGTAGGCGCGAAGCGATCTCCAATTATGTACATCCACGATGTGACCCAACTTTCACATAATGGATGCCGACTCCCCAAAAAACGTCGTGTTTAAATAGTTCCAACCCTTTTTCAATCTCCATTTTCACTTGACAAGAAAAAAAAAATTCCGGAACAAATCTGACTCGGAAGGCAGGCTAGACTAATTGACTGAGCGAGACTCCATCCAACTCTTCTGCATCCATCTAGCAAAGCCGCGTGAGTGAAGCACCCTAAATGTAGTCAAGGCGAAGCTCCATTGTGGACGTGAGGATCCTTTTCTATCGAGCCTTCCTTCCAGTCTAAGTAGGGCTAAGCTAAGCCTAAACACCTCGCCGTTTTGAGCTAGCCTATGAGTTTGAAGGGGCTCAAACCGTTGATCCTGAAGGGTTCTCGCTCCATAGTGTATTTTGTCATCGCCTTCTTGATGAACCGGACTTGCAACTGCGTACCGCTTCTCTACCATCTTGCTTGGTTTTTTGAAAGCTTAGCGACAAGGAACGCTTACTGATTGCCTGTAACATCCTGAGATGATTCTATGCCATCCTCCTTCTCTTTCTTTCTTGCTTTGCCTGGACATCAGTTATCACGGATTCAATCCAAAGATATACCCTAAGTCAAGGCTCTACCTTCTGACTGTCTGTTCTCCCCAAACAAGAAGTGGGAAACGGCTGCTAATGGCACAGCTGAGAGTTTGCCATCCAGAACAAAAGAAGTGAAATCGGTTGGGATGAGGCGAAAGAGCAGCGGGAGATTGCCTAAAAGAAGGCCCAGCGACTGCCCTCATCCGTGAAAGTTTCAAAAAGAATCCCTTTCCCCGGAGCCTCGCCCTCTTGACTTGATATGTCAAGAAGACTACAACCGATAGTTGATCACCTTTTGCCGGTGGTAATGTCAATCTCTTCTTTTTTGCATCATAGGTAAGGTGCGGAGCAGAAAACATTTCAAGATCTTTCCAATTCCAATTTTGGATTCTATTCTATATCGCAGTTTTTGAGTCCAATATCCCTTTTTATGCTCGCTTCGTATATTCCAATTTTTTGAAGTTGATCCAGGCTGATCTCCTTTTCGTTCTTTCCGGGAAAGATCCGCTCTCGAATCAATCTCGAGTTTTCCCATGAGCCTCAAACAATTGAGAATTTCGACGATGCTGTCCATAGATCAAATTATTTCGTGGATTGGATTTCACTTGACTGTCTACGGCTCCATTGCGTGTGCTCGAGGTAGAAGTTTTGTATAAATGTATTGCCGTGTTATTAAGTATTTTGCTTTAAGTTCTTTTCTCTATAAGAGGTGGAATAGAATAACCCGGTTGAAGCGTAATGATCATACGTCTGTAATGCATTGTATGTCCCATAATAGGTCCCATCCTTCTACCCTTTCCCGGGAGTCGATGACTATTCATAGCTATTACCTTGACACCAAAGAAGAGTTCGCCCCAATGCTTTATTTCTGTCCTAGTTGATCCTGATTCGACATTAGAAGTATATTGATTGTTCCCCAATAACCGAATACTTTTTTCTGTAAATACTGCATATTTGATTCCATCCATAAATCCATTTTCTTCCCTATGAGTTCCAGTCTCGATCAGAATGAGAGTTCTGACTTTTCAGATGTTCTTAATAGACCATACCAATTGGTTATGTATGTATGGATTGACATTGAGACTCCAATAGACTTCTGGAACGTTCCCATTGGCGTGCATCCAGCAGGAATTGAACCTACAAATTTGCCAATTATGAGTTGGGCGCTTTCACCATTCAGCCATGGATGCGCTAGCGAGTGAACTAGGTTGGTAGAGCCGAGGATCGAAAGAAACTCTTCGGAAATCTGGGTTTTTTGGCTAGCAATCAAGCTAGGGTCCTGATCGAGCAAGACGCAGTCCTATCTATCTACCTCTCCAAACACAATATCTTGAGTACCTATGATGGTGACTACATCTGCTGGCATGTGATGTTTAGACATAGAATCGAGTCCTTGTGAATGGGCAGAGCCAGGTGCTCTTATTTTACGACGGTAGGGACGATTGCTTCCATTACTGACAAGAAAGACACCAAATTCTCCTTTAGGTGCTTCAACTGCGGTATAGGTAGAAGGAGCTGGTACGGAAAAACCTTCTGTATAAAGTTCGAAATGGTGAATTGAGGTAGAGTAGACCGATGATCCTGTAGTCATTTGGCCGGCTATGGAAAGAAAAAGCTTGCATCTGCTCCCCCTAAACTCTAACCGGTCCCATCTCTCTCCAAACCTAACGTGGTAGTTTCCCATCATAAGGCTTTCTATCTATAGATTGAGCCATTACCAACCAAGGATCCCATTCGTTCAGAACTCAGTTGACTAGATAACTTGGTTCAGCACATAGGCTTCTTCGGCGCTACTACAGCGCTTCGCTAACTCGAAGCGCCTCACTCTGAGAATGACGCTTCGCTAACGCTCGGCTAAGTCGTCGAACCCTCGCGCTGACCGTTCGTTTCTCAGTAGCGAAAGCGCTTCTCTTTGCCCCTTACCCTTAAGTAGAAGTAGAAGGCGCACTAGAGAGATTCTTTTTTTCTTGCTCCCGCTTCCTCATCTGCGCTCGTCAAGCCAACTTAGCTTTTTTTGGGGGAGGTGAAACAGTGGTTGAAGCGGACATTTCAAAATGACAGCATCGAAGATCTGTCTATATATACACGGTCACGGTTATCCCGGACTGCGTTCCGGAAAAAGTAGCCTACTTGACAGAAAGGGCGGGCACTCTCGGCTCGTAGGTAGGCACTCTCGTGTTTCAACCCCACGTGACTTTGAAAGTTGTGGGGCACTGTGTACTTACAGCCTCTACGAGTTGCAAGTGAATGGGGCCGGTGCGTGGCGAACGGAACGGTTCATCAAGCCATTTCTCGCCTCAACCCCCTAAATAGGAAGAGGGGTACTTTACTAATAGGGGGGAAATTGTCTCGCACCTGACTGTGAGGGACCTCTCGATACCGCGTAGTGGGGTTCACTTCGTCATTCGTCACTAGTGGCTGGTTTCCCGGAAGCCTTTTCCCAGTGCGCGGAGCCCAGCCCCAACGAGGAAGGTGTTAGTGCTTTCTCATGGGGTAAATAATGCTAATCCTTGTGCTACTCCTACGGGAAGAATCTAAGAAAACGCGAAGCGTTCTCTTGGTTTCCCAAAGCTTCTAAAGGTTGCCCTCTCTCGGCTGGATTTTTGTCCAGCCTACTACGAGGATCCCGTATCCCGTACATCGTCTTTCTCCCTCCTGGGTTCCCGTGGTTCCTATGCCGCCGCGTTTCCCGTCCTTTTCTTTTAGTGCTTCGACCCAGCTTGACGCGTTTTCAGTGGATAAGATGGCTGCGCTCCAGCTCACTCAAGAATGGGACGGCAGTGGTCCGCCGGCAAGCTCGTTCTGATCTTGGACGCAGTACATTGGAATCCTGAAGCACCACCACGAACGCTACCGCGCGTGCGCCTGCGGTGCGGTAAGGCACCACCCTGTTGTGCCAGCAGCCAACTCCGGCGTGTCAGCTTAGTTATCCTCATCAAGCCACAACCTTGATGTCTAGCTTCCCAACTGGTAGACGGTTCCTTTTCCCCCAGATCCATGAAGAAGGGAGAAGTCAGTTGATTCTTCCGAATAACCGGAAGCGAAGCGCTATGCCGGGGCGAGGGGACGGGAAAAGAAACTGCTCCGAAGAAAGAGATTAGGGTTCCCAATGCTTCTCCACGCCCAACGAGATGCGCCAACCTCGGGATGCTTTACTCCTAACCCCACGACGGTTCCGAGACGGAGCTTAACCTGAGTCTCGGTTAAGAACGGCGATGATCTACGTTTCACACGGCGCACGATTCCATGGATAGTTTCATTCGACCTCGTGATGGAGGACATAGCTTACGATCATCGGCTTTGATCATGCCACTAGGCATTTTATTAGGACATTGCACAATGATCCGAACACTTTGTCGCATCTCTTCGATACGGATACAGTAACGATCATAGCGATCTTCTCTGGTACCTACTAGTACGTCAGGATCCGATTAGTCATAAACATCATAAGGTGGTGCTCTTCACGAATCCCACCATACCCGAGGTTGGGATGGGTAGGCCCACTACTTCACTTTCACTTAGGCTCGGGCCATCGTCGGGGGCGCCTTTCGCGCCCCCCCCCCCCCCCCCCCAAAAAAAAACTGTGCGTGGGAGTTTCCCTTCATACGGCTCGAATCATTCTCAGATGACCCGAGAGGCATCCTTTCCTTAATTCCCTTTGGGGGTGGTTCACGCTCGCGCAAACGAGCACCGGCCGCAAAAACAAGGAACTATGACCACCAATAGAGTCAGACACAGAGCGTCATCCTTTTTTTCTTTTGACCCGAATGTCTTTGTAAGTCAAAGACATTCTCTTTGAGGAGTTTCTTTCTCTGAGGGTGCGGGACGCTCGCGGAGTCCGTGCCTTCAAGAGGATAAAGTACTGAAAGATCTCTTTCCGAAGCGCACCTATTGTGGGGATTAGACGCAATAGCACATACGTGAAATGCGTAAAACCACACGATGAATGGTACCCTAAAGGCCGACATCCGAGATAAAACGGGACAATCCTTACCTTACGGGTTCTTACATTTTATTGTAAGATGTCAGTAACAACTGAAAGATTGAAAGAGCGTCAATATTGCTTATCATCTCTGAGAGAAGGATACATATAGATTTTCAACTCAGTCGGTGATCAATCGACTTCACTCTCAATCACTAATCGAGCAAGTGTCAAACACTTGACCAGACTACCGTAATAACGAATATATATCTATATATGTATGTATGAATATATATTGTTGAGATTTGAAATAGGCCAGCATAATTTCATTGATAAGAGGGTATTTAAACCCAATTACAATAGGCATATGAAATGAAAAATAATAAAAACAGAATAAAATAACTATGAAAGAAATTAAAATAGATAAAAACAAAAGAGGAAAGGCAAAATTTAAGGAATAAAATCAAATAATAAGAAAAAATGTCATCGGGATAGTCATTATAATCTAATACTCCGAAACATGGATGTAAGTGATGCTGAACTTGAACTTGAAGTCATCAAACAAAGGGCAGGGCAAATTCTTGAAGATGTTTGCTAGTTAACCAATTGAGGGTACATATGGAACGCAAATCTCCTCAAACTCGTTTTTTTCTCTATCTGTTGACCTCTACATGTTTGATAAGATCATATTGGACTGGGTTGTGAGCAATGTTGATTGCAATCTTATTATCACAAAATAACTGCAACGGAGCAGAAGTTGGCATACAGAGTACACGGAACATGATGCATTGTCAGAAAACTTCACAGATTCTTAAGGACATGATTGAAATTCAGCTTCAACATTGTTTCGAACAACCACAGACTATTTTTTGTTTTTTCATGTGACAAGATTGCCCCATACAAATAAGCAATACATCGAGATGGAACACCAATCATGAACTAATCCATTTCATTATATTTGTATAAACAACAATGGATCGAGCGGTGTGACGGGAGAAACAAACTTAAGCCCGTTGTACCTTTTAAGTAGTTGAGAATCAGGTGGACAGCTTGGAGGTGGTGCTTGTAGGAGTCATACATGAATTGACTCACTAATCCAACTGTGTGGCATATGTCAAGACGAGTATGAGCCAAGTAGATAAGTTTTTCCACAAGACGCTGGTAATGTATTTTATTGACAGGTACAACATTGGGAATGTGAGATAATTTTTCATTAGGATCCATAGAAACAACAAGTTTGCACAGTAGAAGGTTGTTCTCTGTCAAAAAGTCAATCACATATTCGTGCTAATATAGCCAAATTCACCGAGAGGACCGAGCCACTTCCATACCTAAAAAGTACTGGAAAGATCTAAAATCTTTCATCTCGAAGGACAAAGAAAAATTATCTTTTAAGGACTCCAATGCGTGGAGATCATTACCTGTAAGAGCAATATCATCAACATAAACAATAAGAACAGCTACCTGACCATTAAAAGAGTGACGGAAGGTGTGATCGAATTGAACCCGAGTAAAACCATAGCCTACAACCACCTTTGTAAGCTTTCCGAGCCAGGCTCTTGGGGCTACTTTAACCCATAAAGGGACTTTCGTAGCCTGCATGCTTTTCCTCTGGAGGAAGTAGAATCAAAACTCAGAGGAAGAGACGTGTGCACCCCTTTTGTCAGCTCACAATTCAAGAATGCATTTTTGACATCTAGTTGGAATAAAGGTCAATCCATATTCATTGCAAGTGACAACAGAACCCGAATAGTGTTTAACTTCGCCATTGGAGCAAATGTCTCCTCATAGTCAACTCCGTAAGTCTGTGAGTATTCATTGACGACTGATCTTGCTTTGTTGCGTTCAAAGAACCCGTCAGAGTTGAGCTTGGTGCTAAAAATTCATCGGCACCCTACAACTTTCTTATCCCAAGGAAAGTCAACAGCGTACCACGTATGGTTCTCTTGAGGGCATACATCTCCTCCATTACTGTCGTTTTCCAAGCGGGATTAGCAAAAGTAACCTCAAAAGTAGCAGGGATCTGAGGGTCCGTCAGAACAATAG